TGCCCCCTGGGGGACGGCAATGACACAGGACTGTCCAGGATGGGGCACACATGCAGAACTAGCTACGGAGGCATGGTGGTACATATCTGTAGTCCCATCGTTCAGGAGGCAGAAGAAAAAGGACCGCTGCAGGTTAGGGGTCAGCCTGGTTTACATAGGGGGCACATATCTATAATTACTTAGTAGGCTGTGGCAGGAGGGTTAGGAATTTAAGGCCAGCCTTGGCTACATAGAAGACCCTATCTCCCCCCCTCCCGAAAAAAACAAAAACAAAACCAGTGTTATGAAATATTTAACTAGGAGAAGACATGTTACTTTTGCTCTTGCTCCATTTGTTAACTATGCAAAAATGTGCTGCATTGCATTAATTAAATAAAATCAACCGGGCTCAGTGAGGTGGGGTTAGCAACTGGTTGACTGGAAGAAGCAGGGAGGAGCTTAGTGTGGCTTTTTTAGTTGGGGACATTGTGGAAGGGAGTGGTTTCCAGGGTGCCTGCAAAGAAAAAGTCAGTTGTTACTCTAACTCTCTGAGCTTACAGGTTTTTCACCCTAGTCTTTGAATCTCAAGTTTTATTAGGACGGTAAAGATTTAGTTAGAACTACCTTTAGCGGTAGCAATAGAGCCACCGGCGGGGCAAACAGAATTCCCCCCAGGTTATGGTCTTAGCGGCTAGTAGCTTAAAGTGCAGCCACTGAAACGAAGCTTCTGTGCATCCAAGGAGAAGCTGGGCATGGGACACAGAGGCAAACAGATCCCCGAAGATTTCCAGCCAGCCAGTCTAGCCGAACTGATGAGCTCATGGCCCCCCCAAATAAGGTACACGACAGGAAGAAACTCTGGTGTCCACATGCGGGAACATACACAAGCATGCACACGCATACACTTGCAATAATCACACACGCATGTGCACACACCAGACACAAAGTACACACAGGCAGATGTGGTAGTACATGCCTGCAATCCCAGCAAACTGGAGGTGGACAGAGGATTGGGACTTTGAAGCCAGCCTGGACTACACAGTGACCCTGTCTCAAAAAAAAAAAAAATCAAAAACAGAGTCGGGAGAAGTAGCTCATTCAAGTGGTTGACCGGCATGCACAAAGTCCTGAATTCCATCCCTAGCACCCCATAAACTGGACACGGCGTCTCATGCCTACAATCTCAGCATCTCAGAGGTGGAGGCAGGAGGTCAAGAGTCCAAGGTTAGCTGGGCATGGTAGTGCATGCTTTTAATCCCAGCCCTTGGGAGGCAGAGACAGGTGAATCTCTGTGAGTTTGAGACCAGCCTGATCTACACAGTGAGTTCCAGGCGGTCAGAACTACATTATGAGATCCTGTCTCCAAATAAATAAATAAATAAATAAATAAATAAATAAATAAATAGTTCAAGGCTGTCCTTGGCTAAGTTCCGAGTTTGAGGCATTAGGATACTGCTTGAATCCCTTTCTCAAAAAAAAAAAAAAAAAATGGCTTGGGGAGGGAGAAACTAGAGAGATGACTCAGTGAAGAGAACTGGCCACTTTTACAGAGGATCAGGTTCAATTCCCAGCACTCACACGGCTGCTCACAGCTATCAGTAACTCCAGTTTCAGGGCATCAATGCCCTCTTAAAGGCTCTCTGGGCACACACACCATGCACAGGCATACACGCAGACAAAACACTCATCTGCATAAAAAATGATAATAGAATAAATTTAAAAAAGGAAACATCAATAAACTTGCATGCCAGCTTGTTAACATATTAATGTTTCACTAATTGTAGAATGTGCGCCATACTAATGTAAGATGTCGATACAAGAGAAACTGTCAAGCGAGGGAGGAGGTATGTAGAGATCTCTGCTCAATAGGAATAATCAAATGAGGTGACAAATAAATACAAAACAAGTCTGGGGCTGGAGAGATGGTTCAGCGGTTGAGAGCACTTGCTGCTCCTGCAGAGGACCTGGGTTTGGCTCCTGGCAGACATATGTAACTCCAGTTCCAGGGGCCCAACACCTGAAATATTTTGGTCTGAAAAGTTTGGGACAAGGGACACTGGAACGTGTAAACCTGTCGGCTGCGTGTGGCCTTTGGAGGTCCCGGGAGGGGAAAGGGACTTCATCTATGAAGCTTTTGGAGATGGCCATCAGTGCTGAGGTGGGAGATTTTGGTGATTCAGCTGTTTTGGAAGTCACCCAAGTTCCTGTATTTGAGCTCTGTGAGCTCATTGGTGCACCGAGTTAACCGCAGGTGGACTCGTTCCTATAGTCTACTGTTAGTACGTTATATAAAGTAAACATATTTGCTCTTATCTCCCCAAGAAAATTGTTCAATATTTATAATCGATTAACTGTGCTTTCCTGACCCACAAGACCCACAAGACCAGATTTTTTTTTTTAGGTTCATGTTTACGTGTGTGTGTGTGTGTGTGTGTGTGTGTGTGTGTGTGTGAGAGAGAGAGAGAGAGAGAGAGAGAGAGAGAGAGAGAGAGAGAGAGAGAATGTGTTTTAGGTATGGAACCCAAATCTAAAAGTAAAATTCATGGCTGAGCAGTGGTGGCGCACACCTTTAATCCCAACACTTGGGAGACAGAGGCAGGTGGATCTCTGTGAGTTCAAGGCTAGCCTGGTCTACAAAATGAGTTTCAGAACAGACAGAAATAAACCAAAAAAATAAAATTCATGTGTTCTAAAAATACTCATACACGTAACCTGGGAGTAATAAATAATTTGATGCTATACTTTCTGTGCACCTGAGTTTTGACAGCAACCTGGACGTGGAGTGGAATTTCTTAACTGTGGCAGGAGATTGGTTGGAGCTCAAAGTTTTGTATTTTGTATTTTGTTTCTGTTTTGTTTTCGAGACAGGGTTTCTCTGTGTAGCGCTGGCTGTCCTGGAACTGGTTCTGCAGTCTAGGCTGGCTTGGAACTCAGAGATCCACCTGAGTTCTGCCTCCCAAGTGCTGGGTTTAAGGGTGTGCACCACTACTCTCTGCTCTGGGTTTTGGATGCTTAATTTTTAAAAATTTATTTATATCTGCGCTTTGTGTGTATGTATGCCTATGCACCATGTGCATACCTGATTCCCTTGGAGTCCAGAAAAGAACACTGGATTCCCTGGAACTGGAATTACAGACAGTTGTGAGCTGCCGTGTGGGTGCTGGGAACTGAACCTGGGTCCTCTGGAAGAGCAGTCAGTGCTTTAAACCCCTGAGCCATGGCTCCAGGTTGTGGATTTGAATAATAATATTCAACATGTAGCCGGGTGGTGGTGGCACACGCCTTTAATCCCAGCACTCGGGAGGCAGAGGCAGGCGGATCGCTGTGAGTTCGAGGCCAGCCTGGTCTACAAGAGCTAGTGCCAGGACAGGAACCAAAAACTACGGAGAAACCCTGTCTCGAAAAATCAAAAAAAAAAAAATAATATTCAACATGTGTGTGAAAGATGCAGAAGAGAGAAGCCCATGGGAATTAGTAGTTGTCAGGGTTTGGGAAAGAGCGGATTCTTCTTGGGATGATAAAGTGTTCTGGAACTATTTAGAGGTGATGGTTGCACAACACAGTGAGAACACTAGACACCACTTACACAATGGCGGCAGTTAATGTAATGTAAACTGTGACCAAAATCACGTTCCATATTCGGATTGGTCAGAAGGTTCAGGGGCTAAACACACTCTGGGCCAAACTTGACTCCCTCAGTTTCAACCCTGGACTCCACATGGTGGAAACAGATGAGACACAATCCTTCAAGCTGCCCTCAGACCGCTATACGTGCATATGGACACACACACATAATAAACAAACAACCAACAGATGCACACTTCTAAAATGAAATGCCATATACACACTTGATACAACTCTACCAAAGTCTTTGCTCTTCTGTAACTCACACCTAAGGTTTTAGAACTCCACACCCCCAAAATTTTCTCACAAACCTGCTTTGGGGAGTGAGAAAGGAGTAATGCTTACTTAGTGGGAAAAAAATTAAGATGTACAAATTTAGGTATGCCTTGGAATCTGGCAGATCAAAACATGAGCCAACCTTGCTCTGCCATTTACTGTCTGTGTGACCTTAGACAGATTACTTCGGCTCTCTGAACCCGTTCCCTCGTTTGTAAAGTGCATGACAGAACCATGCAATGACATATTCACCCCCCCCTCAAGAATTACAAGACACAAAGGCAGCAATCATCTCCGCCCTGTCCCCTTCTCTCGGGTGTCCAACAGGATAGATGCCCCAGCACCTTTGTAGCTAGACCGAGGACCAGGGGGTGGAGGTGAGGAGCAAGATTCTCAGTCAGGGCTGGGGATGTGGCTCAGTAGATAGAGGGTTTGTCTAGCATACATGAAGCCCTGGGTTCAGTCCTCAGCACCATGTAAACCGGGCATGGTGGGGGTGTTGGGGGCACGTCTGGGACTCGCCTACTATCCCAGAATTTGGAGATAAAGTCAGGAGTGTCAGAAGTTCAAGGCTGGGCTTCGGGTTAAGAGTGTGCTCCTGTTGAGCACCAAGTTCCGTTTCCAGCACCTCTGTTGGTGGCTCACAACAACCTGTAACTCCAGCTCCCGGGAATCTGACGCCTTCTCTGGCTTTGTGGCGTCTGTACTTACACATACACTGACACATGAACATGCACATAATTACAAATTAAATAAATCTTTTTTCAAAAGAAATTCAAAGTCATCCTCAACTAGAAAGCAAGTTTGAGGCCAGCCTGGGCTAGAAGCACTGTCTATAAATTAAAATAAAATAAAAAGGAGTTCAAAGTTTCTCTCAGATACCTAGTGAATTCCAGGACAGACTGAGACTTGGCAAAAAGGAAAGAAAATAAAAATCCCAAGGTCTGAAGACTCCAGAACCCATCCCCTTGGTGAGGAAATGCCAGCCACAAATCCATGACATTGTTTTCAGTGATTTCTTACAGGCAAATCCCTCTGGTTGTCCCAGATAGACTCAAGGCCAGCCCAGAGTGGCCAAGAGCAAAGCAAACAACCTTATCGTGGAAGTGTGGGGCCCAGACTATAAAAGAGAAGTCCCTTGCGTCCTCTCTTCACTCAAGATGAAACTCCTTCTGCTGGTCACTCTCCTCGCAGGTGAGACCCCCGTCCCCTCTGAGCGCCCCTCCATCTGCCTTTCCTTTAGGGCCCAGCTCCTCCACTGGCCACTCCTGAAGCTCTGGTTTGGGTTCCCTTTGGGGTCTAATAGTCTGTGGGTTGGGGCTCCCTCCTCACCTCCATGTCGACCACAGCTGACACCTTTAGCCTCTAGGTCTGAACTCAGATGATTCCTCAGAAAAGTCCACTCCATTCTCTTACCCAAGCAGAGAAAGTTCCTTCTGCCTCTACCATATCGCCACGCCACCCGTTTCCCAGTCACTAAGGTGCCCTGGAAATTTCTTAACCTTTTGAAAACTATCGACTTTTGCTTTATGTGTAGGAGTGTTTTGCCTGCATGTGTGTCTGTGAACTGTGTGTGAGCAGTGTCTACGGAGGCTAGAAGAAGGGTCTGGTCCTCCAGAACTGGGATCATAGACAGTTGTGAGCTGTGATGTGGGTACTCTAACTGAGCCAGGGTCCCGCAAATTGGTCCTGACTGCAGAGTCGGACATCATCATCATCATCACATCATCATCATTGTTATTGTTGATATAATTTTATAATGTGGCTGAGGATGTCCTCCAATTCAACATGATAGCCATATTTTCCTCAGTATCCCAAGTGTTAGGATTACATATAGAATCTTTCTGTGTAGCCCTGGCTGTCCTGGAACTAACTTTGTAGAACAGGCTAGCCTCGAACTCAGTGATCCACCTGCTTCTGCCTCTGAGTGCTAAGGTTAAAGGTGTCTGCAATCTTCTTCTTCTTCTTCTTCTTCTTCTTCTTCTTCTTCTTCTTCTTCTTCTTCTTCTTCTTCTTCTTCTTCTTCTTCTTCTTCTTCTTCTTCTTCTTCTTCTTCTCCTTCTCCTTCTCCTTCTCCTTCTCCTTCTCCTTCTCCTTCTTTTATTTATTCATGTATTTTATGTATATGAGTACTCCATTTTCATGCACACCAGAAGAAGGAATCTGATCCCATTACAGATGGTTGTGAGCCACCATATGGTTGCTGGGAATTGAACTCAGGGCCTCTGGAAGAGCAGTAGTCAAATGCTCTTAATTGCTGAGCCATCTCTCTAGCCCCCAGGAAGGGCTTCTTTAATGGGAAAGCATCAGAACCAAACTCTCTTTAGCCTTTCCAAAAGTGAGATGACTCTATGCATGGTTGTTGGTGCATGCCCAAAATTCCAGCATTTAGGTGGCTGAGGTAGGAGGATTGAGAATTCAAGACCAGCCTGAACTAAATAAGCAGACCCTTAAAAAAAAAAGCAAAAGGTTAAGTAAACAAAAATTCTGTCCGAGAACTTGTAGAGAGTGTCTCAGAAGAGGTGAGTGTGCTGGCACTTCTGGGCACTTGTCCGTCTGTGACGTGGGCAAGGAAGGGGGGGGGGACGGAAGACGTGAAGTGGAATCCTGGGCTTACGGAAGGGAGAAGCTGCAGGCTGAGGTGCAGGACCGACTCTGGGGCCGAGGGCAATTCCATGCATTTATGAACACAGTCGTCCTGAAAGGGCACGGGGAGACAAACCCAGAATTGACCCACACTGACCCAGCTTCAACACGGACCTCCTTGTTGATCAACTTCTTATGATTTCCTGAGTGTGGGAAGCATGGGCCCATACTGTCTTTTCATCCCTGCCTCTGGCTTCTTTTCTTCCCGTCCCTCCATTTCTTCCTGTGAGGCAGAGTGACACATGGCATCAGATGCGCCATTCCGTCATGGATTACCTTGACTGTCTGGTCCTCCAGCGACTATAGAGAGGGATATGTGGTGCTGGGGATGGAGTCAGAGCTTCCTGCATGCTTAGCAAGCACAATGCAAACTGAATGGAACCCCCATTCCTTGTCTTGTTTGATTGTAACGTGGTCTTATATTGCTCAGGAAAGCCTTGAACAACTTCTGATCCTCAGCCTCCAGATTGCTGGGATTACACAGTGTGTGCTCCACTGTAGACTTTATTTTAATGGGGACCAAGGATTCCACTGCACACTGAATCCCGTCTCATTTCCTGTTCCTCAGCTGATGAACAGTTTGTTATGTCGTGTGCTGCTGACCTTACACACAGTGATCTGACCATTAGCCTTGTGTATGAGCTGTGCGTGGTCGTACAACAGATTCCTTCTGAGTCTCCAGTGTGAAACAATAGCAGGTGTTGGCTGCTTCCCTGGCTCAAGGTCTCAGCTAGAACTGTAATGAATCCCACTGCTGGCTGAGGCTAGGGTTTCACCTGGGCTTGAGTAAAGTGGGGCAGTTCTCAAACTCAAGAGATGGCTGGATTGCAGGATACTGAGCTAAGAGGTCAGTTTCTTTCTGTCCCCAAAAGGTGGACACCTTTCTGCTTAGGCCTGGTGACTTGAGTTTGGTCTCCAAAACCTACATAGTGAAGGGAGAAAACCAACTCTCTAAAGCTGTCCTCTGACCTCATCATGTGTAGGATGACATTTATGAGTGGTCCTAAGTATGCTTTTGAACATGTGTACAGGCAAGTACATACACACGCGCACACACACACACACACACACACACACACACACACACCTCTGTTCATGGCTCTCCCATTGCAGCAGCTGGAAGGAGTCAAGGAGGAAGCTGGCAGGCAGGCATCAGACCCCTGGTAAAGCCAAGTGCTACTGACTGGAATGTTCTGTGCATTCTTGCAGCAGGCGCTACTGCACACAGCATCAGCCGTCGGGCTCTGTGGCAGTTCCGCAATGTGATCAAGTGCACCATCCCCGGGAGCAATCCCTTGTTGGAGTACAACAACTATGGCTGCTTCTGTGGCTTGGGTGGCTCAGGCACCCCCGTGGACGAACTGGACAGGTGAGTGAATCAGGTGGGAGCCTGGAGTCTGTGTCGGCGTGGGGGAAGTACACAGCAGAGCATCTCACGAGGCGTGACTAGGCATGCATACTCACTAAACATCACAGTTTCTTTTTTATCTACTTATTATTTATTGTTTGTTTGCGTTTCCAGACAGGGTTTCTCTGTGTAGCCTTGGCTGTCCTGAAACGCTCTATAGACCAGACTGCAAATACGGGGCAATGCTGCCATCTAGTGGCAGCCTAGGGTACGGTCAACCATCACGTCCACCATCAGTGTGTTAGCTTCAGACATGTAATTTCACTATATTCCTGCAGCTTTGGGAAAAAAAAAAAAAACAAAACAAAACACCTTTTTTTTTTGAGACAGGGTCTCACTACTATCCCTGGACGGTTTTGAACTGATCCATCTGCCTCTGCCTCCCACGTACTGGGGTTAAAGGCAGACACCACCACACTTGGAGCTATCGATAAAAAAAAAAAAAATGGTTTCAAAAAAATATCATTATATCTGGGCAGTGATTCTTCACACATTTATTACCTCTCTGTGGGTTCAATGCCAGTTTGGTCTACAGAGAGAGAGTTCCTGAACCCTGCTTCGAAAAACCAATAAAGAAATAAATACATATATGTTAATAGAGATCACAGATTCCAGGGCCTTAGGACAATTTCTTCTGGAATGTCATGTTTAGCATGTTTAGCAATAGTAGCGTGTGAGAAAGATGAAGCGGTGTGAAAAAGACCTGGCCTCCAGCGGGCTCGTGCTCCGCCCTCACTGTTCCTTGCACTCCCCAGGTGCTGCCAGACTCATGACAACTGCTACACGCAGGCGAAGAAGCTGAAGGACTGTAAAGTCCTCATCGACAACCCCTACACCAACTCATACTCATTCACCTGCTCAGGGAACGTGGTCACCTGCAGCGGTAGGTTTACCCTTGGGGCCCTCTGGACTCTGCTTGGCCTTCGATCCATTTGGAAGGGGCATGGAAGTAACAAGGACAAACAGTGTCCTCATGTGTGCGTTGTCTCTCAACCCTGAGTCTGCACAGATAGGACGCCACGGTTTCTTTAGGTTATAAACTGTATGGAGCAGGGTCATGGGCTCCACGCAGCTCCCTTTCTTCTTCCTCTCCAGCCAAAAACAACGCTTGTGAGGCCTTCATCTGCAACTGTGACCGTGAGGCCGCCATCTGCTTCTCCAAGGCTCCCTACAACAAGGAGAACAAAGGAATTAAGTGCTAGACTTCTTACCCCAGTTACTGACTTCACCACCCCCGCCTGGCTGACTGTGTTCACTACACACTCTGCCCTCCAATAAAGCACCTCCTGGAAAAACTCAGCTTTGATGATTGCATTCTCTGGCTACCGAATATAGCTAGATCCTTAGAGAACATCATTCTATCTAGCCCTGAAAGGTGAAGATTAACGAGATAGACATCGCCATTAGGGGAGCAACTTGAAGTGTGGGTGATGACCCCGGCCATGCCTTCCATCCAGCACATGATATAGAGAAGTAGAGGCAGAGGCAGAGGCAGGCAGATATCGTTAGTTCAAGGCCAACCTGGTCTAAAAAGTGAGTTCCAGGCCAGCCTGGACTGTTACACAAAGAAACCCTCTCTGGAAAAATGAAAAAAAAAAAAAAAAGGAGGAGGAGGAGGAGAAAAAGGAGAAGAAAGAGAAGTCAGCCTGAGGTACACAGGGGAGGAGGGGAAAGAAAGGGAAAGGGAAGGAGAGAGACGAGGCAGGGAAAGGATGGACAAGGAGGGGAGGGGAGAGCAGGTGTGTGGAGGTAAGGAAATAGAAGACAGGAAGGTAGGAGGAGAGAGAAGGGAGAAAAAAAAGCAGTGTCACATGGGCACCAAAGCCAGCATCTTGGCCCTAAAAATAGTGAACTCTAAACACTTCTGCTGTGAGCTCATTCTAGGATGTGGGATGTAGGAAACCATATTGGAGTAGGAAACCATATTGGACTGACGGTAACCGACCTGAAGGCAGGCTTCCATCCATCCCCGTGACCTTCGTGACTTTGCTGCCTAAACGCACACCACAGAATAATTGTCCCGCTAAAGTACACAGCAGCCTAGATCTTTACAACAAACAAAACAGAACATGTTCTCTCCTTTGCCTTCCTCTAGTATGGGGCTCCCCAGGTGAAGCAAGGTTAATCTCTGGTTCCCTGGTGAACCAGATTTCAGAATAAAAATTCTCACTGGCTGTTGTGAGGCTATGTGGTTCTCAGTCTGTCTTTTCCTTTAGCAAACAGTTATTTGGTTCTCTGCCTTTCCACCCGCACCCCCATCTGCACTCAGGTCCCAAAGCTTGGGCTCCCCCTCCCAAGGTCAGGTCTGGTGAGCAACAGTAAAAATCAATTAAAAAAAAAAAAGAAAGAAACTGGGGAAGGAATCAGAAAATAGAAAGATCTCCCATGCTCTTGGTTAGGTAGAATCAACATAATAAAAATGGCAATCTTACCAAAAGCAGTCTACAGATTCAGTGCAAACCATATGAATATTCCAACACAATTCTTCACAGACCTCAAAAGAACAATACTCAACTTCATGTGGGAATACAAAAAAACTTAAGATAACCAAAGCAATGCAGTGCAATCCAGGAACTTCCGGAGGCATCAGCATCCCTTACTTCAAGCTCTACTATAGAGTTATAGTAATAAAAATAGCTTGGCATTGACATGAAAACAGGCATGTGGGTCAATGGAAGCAAATTGAAGACCCTGACATTAACTCACACATATATGAATACCTGATTTTTGACAAAGAAACCAAAACTGTATATGGAAAAGAGAAAGCATCTTCAACAAATAGTGCTTATATAACTGAATGTTCACGTGTAAAAGAATGCAAATGGCTCCATATCTATCCCTGTGCATAAAACTCAAGTCTAAGTGCATCGAACACCTCAACATAAATCCAGTTACATTTGAGCTGGTAGAAGAAATGGGAAGTAGCCTTGAACACAATGACTTGGGAGACCACTTCCTAAATATAACACCAGTAGCACAGACACTGAGAGCAACAATTAATAAATTGGACACCCTAAAACTGAGAATTTCCTATAAGGCAAAGGAATTTTCAATAAGGCAAAACAGTAGCCTGCAGAATGGGGCGAGATCTCCACCAACCCCACATCTGACAGTGGCGTGATCTCCAGAATATATATATATATATCTCAAGAAACTAGATATCAAACTACCAAATAATCCAATTAAAAATGGGATATAGATCTCAACAGAGAATTCTCAAAAGAAGAAACTCGAATGACCAAAAGACATTTAAGGAATTGCTCAATATACTTAGCCATCAGGAAAATGCAAATACAAATGACTCTAAGATACCATCTTGCACCTGTCAGAATGGCTAATATCAAAAACACTGATGACAGCTTATGCTGGAGAGGATGTGGAGTAAGGGGAACACTCCTCCACTGCTAGTGGGAGTGCAAACTTGTACAGCCACTTTGGAAATTAGTATGAAAGTAGGGAATTAATATACCTCAAGACCCATCAATACTACTCTTGGGAATATACCCAAAAGGATGCACAATCATACCACAAAGACATTTACTAAACTATGTCCATAGCAGCATTGTTTGTAATAGCCAGAACCTGGAAACAACGTAGATGTCCCTCAATGAAAAATGGATAAAGAAAATGTGGCACAATGGAGTATTATTCAGCGGTAAAAAACCAATGACACTTGAAATTTGTAGACAAATTGATGGAACTTAAAAAAAAAATCATCCTGACTGAGATAACCCAGACCCAGAAGGAAAAACATGACATGTACTCATTCATAAATGGATATTAGAATTAAAGCAAAGAATAACCAGGCTACAATCTACAACCCCACAGAAGCTATGTAAACAGGGGGACACTAAGAGGCTTTCTCCTATGATCAGATTAGTGACTACCATAATGGTCATCATAGAATCTACATCCAGTAACTGATGGAAGCTGATGCAGAGATCCACAGCCAGGCACTAGGCTGAACTCCTGCAGTTTAGTTTAAGAGAGGGAGGAGGGATCGTATGAGCAAGGTCAAGATCATGACTGGAAAACCACAGAGGCAGCTGACCGAGCTAGTGGGAGCTCGCCCTCTCTGGACTGACAACTGGGGATCCTGCATGGGACCCAACTAAGCCAGCTGAGTGTGGGTGACAGTGATGTGGCTTGATTTGCTGGGGAGGGGCCTGGCAGTGGGACCAGGGTTTATTCTGGGTGCATGAACTGGCTTTTTGGAGCCCATTCTCAACCTTGATACAGGAGAGAAGGGTTTGATCCTGCCTCAACTTGGTATACCAGACTTTGTTGACTCCCAAGGGAGGCCTTACTCCCTCTGAGGAGTGGATGGGGGTGGGACAGAGGTAGGTAGGGGATGGGAGAAGGGGAGGGAGAGGGAACTGGGCTAACATGTAAAACTTTTTTTAAAAAACTTAAATTAAAAAAAGAAAATGAATGTGACAATTTTCAAGCAAAAGAGAAAAGAAAGAAAAGAAAACAGAAACTGGGAAAATTTAGTATTGCTGGTTTAAACCAGGTATGTATATGATCTTAAACACTTGGGGTGTTGAGGCAATCTGGGCTATAATGTTGGGTGGAGGATTTCCTCGGTTGCTTTATAAAATTACATCATCACCATCATCAACAACAACAACAATAATAACGATGATAATAATCATGATGATGATGGTGATGATGATGGTGATGGTGGTGGTGATGATGGTGATAGTGGCTGGAGAGATGGCTCTGCAGTCAGGAGCACTTGCTGGGCTTGTGTAGAAGTCAGGCCTAGTTCCAGAACCCGCATGGCAGCTCAGAACTGTCTATAACCCAGTTCTGGAGGATTAGACCCCTCCACTGGCCTCTGCAGGCACTGCTCACACACAGCTCACAGACACACATGCAGGCAAAACACTCATACACGTACAATAAAAGTAAATGTTTTTTAAAGGATGAGAAAAATCAAAATGTGAGGGCATTTTAGGGCCAGGGAAATGGGTGTCAGGGCAATAAGGCAGAGGCAGAAGAGCTTTCTTGGTTGGGGGGTTGGTGAATGTAGTGGACTTTTCTAAGCAGTCATCGGAGTTCATGCCTAGAGACTGAAGGTGCCAGCTGTTGTCAACATTGTGGTGAGGAGGGAATCCAGCCCACAGGCTATTAGACACCAATGCAACCCCAAACCAGAACTTCAGGTGTGACCAGCAGGGGATGTGCATTAAAGACAAGGCAGACGGGGGCACTCAGAGGGGACAGGGGTCCTCCCTGCGAGCAGAGTGACCAGCAGGGGGACGTGCATTGAAGACAAGGCAGACGGGGGCGCTCAGAGGGGACAGGGGTCCTCTCTGCGAGCAGAGTGACCAGCAGAAGGAGTTTCACCTAGAGTGAGAGGACGCAAGGGACTTCTCTCTTTACAGTCCTGTAGCTGTGCTCTGACGGGGTCCAGTCAGCAGGCGGGGCCTGTGACTACCGTGTGTGTAGCACAGAAGTAGAATATGTCCACCCTCACAGACAGTCCTGACCGTCAGAGCCGCTGTAGATGGTGGCAGAGCCTGAATTAGTACTGTCGCAGAGGCACAGATAAAGGGCTGGCTCAACACCCCACACCAGCTGCAGAGCAGTGACTGGCAAAGTGCCAAGGCCCTCCCCTGTGGAAGCTTTGAGGTCATAAGGAGATATAGACATTGCTCCTGGGGTTGGGTCTGAGGGATGCTGATGGTGACGTGTGGTCCCAGCAGGAGTAGCTGAGCCCAACAATCCTCCATGTTAACTGTATAGACTAAGTGGCAAATGTGTTCCAAGACATGACAGAGTCTTTCAGGTAGATCCATTTATGAATTAATTAAGTAATGTGTGTGGAGGGGGTGAGAAAGAGACAGACAGACAGACAGAGACAGAGAGAGACACACACAGACAGAGACAGGAGCACTTGTGTGCCCACGGGAAGTCAGAGGACAGCACTCGGGAGCCAGTTCTCCCCTTCTAACATTAAGTGGTTACAGGAATTGAACTCAGGTCTACAGGCTTGTGCTATAGGCTGAAAATTCCATTTAAAAACTGGGAAAGTAAGATAGAGACAAAGTCCCTCCTCAGAGCAACGGACTGAGCCCCCAAGGTCCAGTTGAAGAGCAGAAGGAGGGAGAAGATGAGCAAGGAAGTCTGGATCGCGAGGGGTTGGTTCACCCATTGAGCCCTGGAACTTGCTTTTTAGACCAAGTTGCTTTGAACTCAAGAGATCTGCCTGCCTCTGCCTCTGCATCCCGGCGTGCTGGGATGGAAGGCATGGCTGGGCTCGTCTCCC